TGTTCACAACCACAGCTATTTATGCTCACGAATGCTTCTGTACCGTGTTCTCTCACTAACGTCACAATTAGTCCTTCTCTGTGAATATTCTAATTGCTAGTTTCCAGAAGTTTCCTTGCATTCTTTTCCAACTGCTTCAAATCATCTTTTCAGATGGGCAGCTCCCACTTAATCACTGATTTTTACTGATCAGTCATCTTTTACTGCTTTTCTATGGTCTTTTGTTTATTCATTTCCTTTTGCCTGTTAAGGCAGATAAAAGTAGATTTATACTAACTCTCCTCGGTCCTATTCAAACCTGCCTTCCTCTCCTCGCGGAGTGCATGCCCTGCGCCTGGCTGAGCCTCTCAGTGGCCCTCCTCGGCTCCACCTTCTCCCTGCCTCTCTTGACTCATCTTTGAGCCCAGTGAGCCCTTAGGTCTTCAGCTGACGCACAGTGTCCCCCAGGCGGCTTTCCCAGGAGTCCCTGGTTTCCAGCGGGACTCTGCTCCAGGGTCTCACTGGGCAGAGTGGAGGGGGGTCTCCTCCCCGCCCCACACTCTCCGCCTAAGTAGCTCTATTTCTGAGGAACACAGGGCTCTGAAGTTCTCGTTCTGGGAGTAGACTACAGAGCCCCTGGGAGCACCGCCTGTGTCCACATGCACACAGGGAGCAGGAGGGACAGAAGCCAGAGGCAAGTGGAGCTCTCCAGGAGCAGGCACTGCCCTGAGAGGCTGGCTCCCTCCCTCCCGCCTGGCTGTGTCTGAGGCAGCCGTAATACAGGGATTCCTTAAAAGCCACTAGGTTGTCATGGCAGACCTTGGTTCCTAACGTGGCTGAGACTGTGTATTTTTGCATGTTTGGATTCACTGGTCAGTGACAAGGCTCCCTCTTCTCCATACTTCCTGGGAGGGCTGTGGGTCCTCAGCAGGAAGGTGGCATGAGGATCCCTTGACAGCCCCAGAGGAGCTGGAGAGCGTCTCTGAAGAGACCCAGGCTCAGCTGCCCTGGCTGCACCTCTCCGCCCTGTGCCACCCCAGCTGCGGGTCACCTGGTGGCTCCCCTCTCACACCTCTGTGACTGAACGTTGCACTCCCTTGGCTTGGCCTTCCACCCTCCCCTCCTCCTCAGGGGCCTTAGCCCAGGAGCCCTCCCCCAAACCCCTGCAGGGATGGGCCAGGTGCTGCTACCTACTGCTGAGCTCTTCAGCAGAGCAGGGCTAGACCTGAAGGTGGCCCCCAGATCCAACCCCCGTGACGGCACCAGGAAGAGGGCCTCGGGACTGGAGGCCTAGGAGCATGGTCCATGACGGGACTCTTTAGACAAGGAGCCCCAGAGAGCCCCTTGTCCCCTCTGACAAACCAGGACACAGAAGGCAGCCACTGTCGGCCAGGCAAGACCACCCTCCTGCCTCAGCCACACGGAGCCCCACCAGGACATCCAGACTCCAGAACCGTGAGACGTAACTGTCCTCTAAGCAACCCAGGCCGCTCTGTCCTCCACATCACGGCAGCACGAGCTGAGCAGGGGAGGAGCCTTGACAGTCCAGCTGCCCACCCCATGACCACTAAGAAGATGCCAGAAGACAGGGGGCTGGGTGAACACAGAGAAAATGACCACTAGTCACTCCTCAGCTCTCCCCAGGGGTCAGCAGCCCCCCTGGATCTGAGCTAAGGCAGATGATCATCACTGTCATCATGGATGAGCCCAGTAGGCATGCACAGTGAAGTCCTGTGTACTAGTTAACCCATCTCAGATGGCTCCCAAGGTCATTCAAGCCACACGCACGTCCTCTGGCCCCTATGCCAGGCAGTTACTCCTTACTCAACATCACCAGGGGGCGCAATGGTAATCTGAGCCCCAGAGATCACTCAACATGTCTGCCCAAGGCCACCTCCAACTCCGGTCGCGCGTGCCTACTCAGACACAAGTGGCCAGGGGTACACTGCTGAGTCCGTGGTCTAAACTGCCTCAATCCCTGAAATTGTGCTAAAGCGCTTACAAAACAACCATTACACAGAAACTATTGTGGACCGAGACAAGATCTTACCCACGAGGCCTGTTTAAGATGAAGGCTCTTGACTACTTCCCCAGTTCTTGGGAATTTTCAATATGCTTCTTAATTTAAAGGGGATCGATAAAATACATCTGATTCTAAAGCCCCTTATTTCTGAACATAAAAATGTATAACAAACCCAGGCACCACCGTGGCCCACACCGATCACCCAGGTGGCTCGGGCAGCCGAGGAAGGAGGATTGCAAGTCCAAACCAGCCTCAGCAACTTAAGGAGGCCCTAAGCAACTTAGCAAGACCCTGTCTCAAAATAAAAAATAAAAAGAGCTGGGGATGTGGCTCAGTGGCTGAGTGCCCCAGGTTCAATCCCTAGTACCAAAAAAAAAAAAGTATATAACAAGATTGAAGAATGTCATATATCAATTATAAAATATATTTATATCTTGGGGCTGGGGTTTTGGCTCAGTGGTAGAGCACTCGCCTAGCACATGCGAGGCACCACATAAAAATAAATTTAAAAAATAAAGGTACTGTGTCCAAATATAACTAAAAAAATTTTTAAATATATTTATATTTTATTTATATTACTTTTAGATTTAAATGTATATATTTATTAATTTATACAGTTATATAATAATTTGTTTATAATTAAAGAAATTTATCAATTTACAATAGGATATAGAAATTTAATAGGATTTTAATGATAAAATGTCTGAAAATTAACATGTAAATTTAATAGAGGTGTAATTTCTATGGATGGTAAAATTGGAATGATGTGCTTTGATTCTTTAACTGGCTTAGAGTTTAACCTAACTTCCATCTTTATTTGGTTCCCATACAAGCTCTTTGTCAAGCAGTTAATGGCACACAAACAACCCCTTAAAAATGTCCTTTGGATGAAGGGACATTTAACCCATGCTCTTCAAAGGCAAATAACTTCTAAGAATTCAGAAATTTATCAAAAAATGAAAATTGTGAAGCAATTCTGAAATATTCAACTCAAAACAAATGCTTTGGACAGGTGCACTCCTTCCCATAGGGTAAGGAGAGCTATAAGTGTGCTGTTCAGTTATTGCTCTTAAGTCTAAAGCAGAGCAAGAAATGGGAGTGGGGAAAGCGTGGGTTTGAGAAACGGTGAATGAGGTTGGTATGCAAGGTTATTCCAATACCGATTGTGTTTGTAAGCAATTTCTTGGGAGGTATCAGGGATTGCACTCGACCACTCGACCACGGAGATAGACCCCAGCCCTATTTTGTATTTGATTCAGAGACAGGGTCTCACTGAGTTGCTTAACGCCTCACTTTTACTGAGGCTGGCTTTGAACTCTGGATCCTCCTGCCTCAGTCTCTGGAGCTGCTGGGATTATAGGGGTGCACCACTGTACCCAGTAGTAAGAAATATTTTGTATTCCTTAAAGTAGATTAATTAAAAAGTAAAATTAATGAATACTATTTGAATCAAGTATTACATATTCGCTACATGATAGTAAGCGTCAAAGTCCACATGACAGAAAATCAGTGGGAAGCTACCATAGGCTGCTCCTACCAGATGGATGGCCAGCACATTCACAGACTCAGTCCCTGGGGAGAGGAGCAAGCACATGGGAAAGCGTCTATGTAACCTTCAGTGATGGGTAGCGTGCAGAAGTCCACTCAGAATGGCGCAGGGAACTCATCTTACTTGCTCCATTTTTTAAACTAAGCTGGCTGGTTGTTTTGGTGACAGTTATTGCCAATGCATTAGGAAATTAAAATATTATTCTTCATATGCTAGAAAAGTGATTGACAGTCAGCACACCCTCGTATCACACATGCCATTGAGTCATCCTTCATCTCCATCAAATTAAACAGGAAACACGATCATCTTAGTGTAAAGGGCTCCAAAGTGTTTGATGCTCAGTCAGGCTTTGATTAATCAGCAAAGCTCAATCACAAGGAGCAAGGCAAGGTTCAGCCAGGAATCCTCAAGTCCTGCGAGAAGCTCAGAGTTGCATTGTTCTTCCTGACTCACTGCTAAACAAGATTCATCGCAAATTGGAATGAATTTGTAGGCAAACAGAGCAGAAAATAAATATATCTCCCACACCAGCACTGCATTATCCACAGGAACATCTCCTTATTACTAAATTTCAGAGACACATATTGAGATAAGCTTGGTAGGTAGGAAATTACAGGAAGATAATGTAATTCTGAAGTCATAAAATATTCCACAATGGAAGGGGCTGCAAGGCAATTCTGGCATTGGCAGCATTTGCTTTTATAATATGATCATATGTTAAGGTGATTTTAAAAATCAATTTAAAAATTCATAAGATGATTTTATTCTCCTGTTATGATACGGGTTTATTATACAATCCTTCATCCAGGGATTGTTTCATGGAGCCTGTTGCGGGACAAATGTTCTTTCAGGTCACTAGACTCCAAAGATAGAACAAAATCCATCTTCCCAACAGGGCATTTATAGCCCATCACCCCATCACCCCAATGTGAAGACAAAACTTACAGAGAACATGCCCGAGCCCCCAGACAGCAAGCACCCGTGCACAGCCTCAGCCCAGAGGACAACACTTTCCAATGCGTGGGATGATGGATTAGTGCCCCTATTAAGAGCTCTCAACAGACAACATGGTCCAATGTTAAAAACAGAGCACCACAAATACCGCTCTGTGCAAATCCCTCCATCATCTCTTCATCTTAAAAATAACTCTACGTTCTTAAAAAAAAAAAAATTTGGTGAGCTCCCCAAGATTCAATCAATTTTTAAAATTTTATTTATTTATTCCCACCATCTTACCTGCCCCCATACCCCTTCCCCTTCCCTTTGCCCAATCAAAGTTCCTGGCATTTTCAAGACTCAATCAATTTTAAAAAACATACACACACCATGAATGAAGTATGAGAGGATTTACTAAGAGACGTGTGTCACTAGAATGACAAATATCGTTTCCATACCAACTCATGACTGAAACAAACAGAAACCCATTGCCACTGTGATTTGGGCACCGACCTGGCATTGGCTGAGGCCCTAGCACCACAGCAGGACGAGGCCTGGAGGCAGCAATGGGCCTGGACAGAGTCAGAGCCACTTGATCCAGCACAGGAGGCTTCTCCAGCAGGTGGAGCAGACCCGAGTCCCCAGGGTGTATCCACGTGGAGTCCAGAGCAAAGGAGTTATTCACAAAAATCTGCCAGAAACAATGCAAACAGAACACTGAGCACGAAGCATGTGAGAAGGGCCACACATTCATGTTGTCTCATGTTGGTCAGTACTGGGCATTCTGATTGGACACTATAAATCACCATTCTAAAAATTAAAGGGCAGGACTCGGATGCCTGAAGTGTCCTGGGCTAGTCCTCGAATGCTAGCCTGGTCCGTTCAACCCAGCAGCTAGTTTGCAGGTGGAAAATCACCCCAATGAGATTACTAATTGGTGGTGTAGAACAAGTCAATGCATCACTTTGTCAGTATTCAGGTCAGCAAAACATATTGGGTGAATTTGAATTTGAAAGCTAAAATAAGCCATCAGAAAGATGAAAACTTAAAGCAGTAATAACAAGAAAAACTCCCTCTTACAATTTAAACTTGCATCATATAATGCCTAATGCTAGATTTCATTCAATGGTTATAGATTTTAAAAATGAAAAAAATTTAAAATTAGATTTTAAAAAATCATTATTCAGACAATTAAAACATCTCACATTTTTGGTGTGAAATCCAAGTACTTCAAGTTACAGTAAAATGCGCATCCCCCCTGCAGTGATGTTTTTTGAACAGGTCAATCTAATTCTGAAATGATTTCTCTCTATTCCTCCGTGGTCCATCATTGAATTAGAAAATACATAGTGTTTCCTTTGCTACACCAACACGCAACAACTCAGCAAATAAAAGCCCACCTGACCAGGCAGACCCCTTGCGTTTTTACCTTACAGTTAGGCATCCTTTTGTCTATCCAACTTCTCCCAACACGAGCTGGCAGAGCAGAAGGGCAGACGTGTGGGAAAATGGGCACCAACTCCACTGTCGAAGAGGGGGACAGTCCTGTCGGTGGAGAATGTCCACCAATCAGCCACTGTAACAACAGCAAAAGACAAGGGACCACTCATTAGCCCACACTGGCCAACTCTACTTGTACCAAAAGTTGTTAGAATAATTGCTTTAAAAAAGAAATTTTCAAATGTACATAATGTGAGTATAAGAAAAATCCCCTCTTTCCTCAGCCTAGAAAAATTGTAGATGTTTATAAATCAAATAGAAACGTATACAAGTTTTCATATCTGAAGCACCACAGGGCATTGCCAACATTGCATTCTTCAATACTGAAAGGGAACTTCTAAGTAGGAAACCAGGAGGACACAGTAAGAAACGTGCCCACCCTGAGATAGGGAAGAGCCACAGGGAAAGGCAGAGCTGCTGGCTGTTCCACTGGGGTCCCTGAATTAGTCTCAGAAGCAAGCACAGAGCTATGTTATGACATTCCTCTCGGTGCATGTCATGTTAATTATATCTACCATTTACAAAACACTTAGCAAATATTTTCAAAATGAAAATAGCTAAGGATTTAAGACTCAAAGTTTCCCAAGATTTGTCAATAAAAATAGGTCCTACAGTAAGGAAAACGTAAGCATCACATAACTGAAGAACACAGTGCACAGAACAAAACAGCAGACACTGACAGAGCAGACAGGAGAGGAGACTGTCTCCCGGAGCAAACTAGTGGAGTCCTCCTCAGGGGACCCACAGAGCCTCCACTGCTCAATGATGGGGAATGGTTCAATATCTATTGTTGTAGAATCATCATGCATTTTTATTTTCCTGATATTCGAATATATCCCTCTCGTTCCAAATACATATTATTTGACAGAATATGGATAGCACAAAATATTTAAAAGACAAACATTTAAGTTTTTCTGGATTTTTCTTTTTAAATTTATAAAAGAAAAAAATGCAGTTTTCTATATGGAAAAACTGTAGTTCCTTGACATTATGTACCTCTAGTGGTGATATTCGGATACAACAACCCTCCGAAATATGGCAAAAGCTACCAGCATTTATCCAATAAAACCCAGCATGAACCGCATCACACATCAAATACATGCCCAGTACCACATATGTGATGTGTCAGTTAGCATTAAAGACCATTTAGGAGGAGTTTAACCACAGCTTTTAGGAAAGCTCACAAGGTACTATTGAAGACAAATTAATTAGAAGGTGCATTCTAACGTAACTCTCATTTGAATATGCTAATGAGGTCGATTTTGGAATAAAATACGTGTTGTTCCCTGATTTAAATGCGTCTGCATAGTTAGATGGCAAACAGCGGACCCTGCCAAAACCTGCCCGCCTTGGTCTGTTGTACCATTAATCAAAGGCACAGTCACTTTTTCTTTTTGATTCCAAGCTTTAAACGCCCAACTCTCCTGAAGTGAAATATGGCTTTAGGGAATCTGGACCCGGCCTAGGGCAGGAGGGGAACCGCCGTGGGCTGGCGGCGCCCGAGCCGGCTTCCCCTGCTGGCTTCCCCCGGTCCCGATTCTCCCCAGCGCTGCCCTGGTCTATGTGAAAGGGGGAACCCGACCAGAATCAGAATCGGCTATTGATCCTCAGCTGCCTTTCAAGTCCGCCCGAGACTGTAAAAGTACCAACTTGGAGGCGGCGTCAGCCCGGCGCTGGCTGCCTCGCTGGGCTCCGGCGGCGGCTTCAGCACCGCGCGCCGGACAGCGACCCGGGCCCGGGCGAAAGTTGTGGCCGGACGGACTCGGGCCTGGGGTGTGGGTCTAAACCGCTCGGCCCAGAGACCCGGGAGAAAGCAGGGAAACTGCCCAGCGGTGGAACGGGACGTCGAGCTGGAACTTTGTGGCCATGCTGGCTGCCGGGCTGCGTCCCGAGGGTCCGGGAGGCGAAGACCCCTGGCAGGGGGAGCGCGAGCCGGGGGCCAGAGCGCCCTGCCCGGGAGGGCCGCGCCCGGGGGCGGGGGGAGCGGCCGCGGAGCGAGCGGGCTGGGTCTTACCTGTCCGTGGAGCAGGGGATAGTGGTGCACGGCGGCGTGGTCTGGCGCAGAGGGCAGAGGCAGCAGAGGCAGCAGGGGCTCGCCCGGGGCTGGCCAGCC